TCCCTCTCCCTCTCCCTCTCCCTCCCCTTCCTCTACCCCTTCCCCTTCCCTCAGCTTCTCTCCTTCTCCACCTTCCCCTTCCCCATCCCTACCCCTTCACCTTCCCTTGGCTTCTCCTCTTGTTCTCTCTCCCTCTCCCCTTCTTCTTTCCCTTCCCTTGGCTTCTCTCTTTCTCTCTCCCCCTTCCCCTTTCCCTTTTCCCATTTCTTCCCTTCCCTCAGCTTCTCCTCTTGTTCTCTCTTCCTCTTCCTCATCCCCATCCCTTCCCTTCCCTCAGCTTCTCCTCTTGTTCTCTCTTCCTCTTCCTCATCCCCATCCCTTCCCTTCCTTCAGCTTCTCCTCTCATTCTCTCTTCCTCTTCCTCTTCCTCATCCCTTCCCTTGCCTACCCTCAGCTTCTCCTCTTGTTCTCTCTTCTTCCCTTCCCTTCCCTTCCCTTCCCTTCCCTTCCCTTCCCTTCCCTCCCCCCCCCGACCTGTTTCTGCCCAGGACTCCCTTCCCTTTCCCCTCCCCTTTCCCCATCCCCATGTTTTCCTCTCCTCCCAGCTCCGGGATGGCCACAGCCCGGCCGTGGGGCAGGTGGGATGATCGGGGACCCCAAGGAGGATCCCCCCCCTCCTCCTCTAACCTCATCCGTTTATTTATTTTTCTTTTTCTTTTTAAATTTTTTCCCTGCAGAAAACACAACCAACAACTCCACGGGCCAGTCGCGGGCCGTCATCGCGGCGGCCGCCCGGCGGCGGGACAACAGCCACAACGAGGATTACTACGAGGAGGCCGAGCACGAGCGCAGGGTGCGGAAACGCCGCGCCAGGTACGGGCACCCTCGCGCCCTGTCCCATGGGGGTGCCCATCTCACCACCCCCACACCCCCTGAGGAACCTGGGCTCTGCTGGTGGAGGCTCCTGGGGACGAGGTGTCCCTGCTCTTGGGGAATCATGGAATGGTTTGGGTGGGAAGGAACCTTGAAGACCATCCAGTTCCATCTTGAAGACCATCCAACCTCCCACCAGTCCAGGTTGCTCCGGCTCCCTCCAATCTGCCCTTGAACCCCTCTCCAGGGCTGGGGCAAGGTTGGGGGGCGTTCAGAGTGCTCTGGGGGGATGCAGAAGCCTCCAGGGTGGTGGCATCTCCCCAAAACACATCTCAGAGAACTGTAGAATGGTTTGAGTGGGAAAGGACCTTAAAGACCATCCTGTTCCTCACCACCCAGCCCTGGGCAGGGCCACCTCCCACCAGCCCAGGTTGCTCCAAGCCCCCTCCAATCTGCCCTTGAACCCCTCCAGGGATGGGGCAGCCACAGCTTCTCTGGGCAACCTGCTCCAGGTTCTCATCGCCCTCACACCAAAGAACTTCTGCCCCACATCTCAGCTCCATCTCCTATTTTTTGGTTTAAAACTCTTCCCTCTCGTCCTATGGCTCCACTCCCGCTCTTCCCCCTCATCCCATGGCTCCACTCCCTAAACACCATCCCTGGAAGGATCTCAAAGCCGGTGCTGAGGGACACAGGGCAGTGGTGGGTTGGGCAGTGGTGGGTTGATGGTTGGTCTTGATAACCTTAAAGGTCCCCTCCAACCCAGGGAAGTGGTGGAATCACCAGAGCATCCCAGAACGTTTGGGGTTGGAAGGGACCTTCAAGCTCCTCCAGTTCCATCCCTTGTAGTGGAAGGGACATCTTCAATGAGACCAGGTTGCTCCAAGCCCCCTCCATCCTGGCCTTGAACCCCTCCAGGGATGGGGCAGCCACAGCTTCTCTGGGCAACCTTTCCATGTTGATCCTCCCAATAAACCCCGGGAAGGGGTGGGGTGGCTGGAAACATCTCTTCTCCCCGGCTGTTGCGTGGCACAACCTGATCTCCCCCCAAAACTGGTGGAAGTTGGGTTCCTGCCATCCCTAGGGAAGCGGGAGATGAGTGGCTCCCCCCAGCCCCATGGGATCTCCTGCCCCACTGCAGCCACCTCCATGACTTTCCTCCCCGCAGGCTGGTGGTGGCGGTGGAAGAAGCCTTCACCCACATCAAGCGGTTGCAGGAAGAGGACCAGAAGAACCCCCGGGAGATCATGGACCCGCGGGAGGCGGCTCAGGCCATCTTCGCCTCCATGGCCCGGGCCATGCAGAAGTACCTACGTACCACCAAGCAGCAGCCCTACCACACCATGGAGAGCATCCTGCAGCACCTCGAGTTCTGCATCACCCACGACATGACGCCCAAGGTGCGCGGGGAGGGGACCGCCACGAGGTGGGGACGGCTCCATGGCTTTCCCCAAGGGCTTGGGCCAGAGGGTGAGGACTTGGGTGGAGTTTTTTCCACCCCTCACCCCCCGCGGGAGGACGAGGGGTTGGGGATGGAGCCAGAAAAGCGGGTGGAACCTCAAAGGAACCAGCTCCACGGGGATGGTTTTTCCTGCAGGACCTGCTGAGCAGCTTCAGGCTGCAAAAAAAAAAAAGGGGGTTGAGTTCAGAGAATCATAGAATTGTCCAGGCCGGAAGGGACCTCCAAAGGCCATCTAGTCCCACCCCCCCGCAGTCAGCAGGGACACCCCCAACTAGACCAGGTTGCCCAGGGCCTCATCAGGCCTCACTAGGCCTCACCTTGAATATCTCCAGGGAAGGGGCCTCAACCACCTCCCTGGGCAACCTGTCCCAGTGCTCCACCACCCTCCCAGTGAAGAACCCTCTCCTCATCTCCAGTCTGTGATTTGCCTTCTGGGCTGCAAGTGCCCACTGCCTGCTCATGTCCAGCTTCTCCTCCACCAGCACCCCCAAGTCCCTTTCCTCAGGGCTGCTTTCCAATCCCTCACCCCCCAGTTTGTATTGGTGGTGAGGATTGTTCCAGCCCAGGTGCAGAACCTTGCATTTGCTCTTGTTGAAACTCATGAGGTTCACCTGGGCCCACCTCTCCAGCCTGTCCAGGTCCTTTTGGATGACATCCCGTCCCTCTGGTGTATGGACACCACCACACAGCTTGGTATCGTCCCCAAACTCGCTGATGGTGCCTTTAATCCCCCTGTCTATATCATTGATAAATATGTTAAACAGTATTGGCCCCAGCACGGACCCTTGAGGAACACCACTTGTTGGTGAGTTGTCAGAAGGTGACGATGACGTGTCCTTTCCCTCTTCCAAGGCCTTCCTTGAGAGGTACCTGACGGCTGGTCCCACCATCCAGTACCACAAGGACCGCTGGTTGGCCAAGCAGTGGACGCTGGTCAGCGAGGAGCCGGTGACCAACGGCTTGAAAGACGGGGTGGTCTTTGTCCTGAAGCGCCAGGACTTCAGCCTGGTGGTGAGCACCAAGAAGATCCCTTTCTTCAAGCTCTCGGAGGAGTTCGTGGACCCCAAGTCGCACAAGTTCGTCATGAGGTTGCAGTCGGAGACCTCCGTGTGAGCTCAAGAGGGATGGAGAGGGCTTGAGGCCGGGGGGGGGCAGACCTTCATCTCCACACCCTTCCTCCTCATCGCCACCCCCCAAGTCTCCACCGGGGTTTGGGGAGACCCCGGTTGAAGGGCAGGAACTTGGGCGGGCGCCTGGAGGCATCACCCGTGCCCAGCTCCACCACCTTCCTGTGACCACTGGCCCTCGGTGGGGTGCGCTGAAGCTTCTTCCACCTCTTCCTCCTCCTCCTCCTCCTCCTCCTCCTCCTCCCCGAAACCCAGGTCCGTGTAGCATCCCCCCAAGAAGGCGCCGCCGGCGGCACGGCCAGGAAGGAGACGGCGTTTTGGGCGCCACAACTCAAGGGCTAAAATCTCCACGTTCTTCACCAGCGTCTTCAAGCACCATCAGGTCCCAAGGACCTTCTCCTCCTGCCCCTTTTCTACAACTGGCCTTGGCTCTGGCCTTAAACCACTGCCCGGCCTCCGGGGTTGGTTTTTTAATCCTAGAGATTCGGGGAAAATGTGTGTGTGTTGGGGGGGGGGGGGGCTGGGTTTGGGTTTTTTTGGGGTTTTTTGAATTTTTTTGGGGTTTTTTAGGGAGG